GCAAGGCGAAAGCAATGCAAAACGAATACAATGTTGCAGCACGCGGCGGCATCTGCGTCAGAGTCCACCCCTCTATGTTGTCTGTTGTGTTTGTTGTGTGTTGTGTGTTGTGTGTGTGTGTGTTGTGTGTTGTGTTCGTGTTTGTGTTGTGTCGTGTGTGTCTTGTGTGTGGTGTGTGGCTGTGTTGTGTGCTGTGTGTTGTGTGTTGTGTTTGGTGTGTGTTGTGTGATGTGTGTTTGTGTTGTGTGTGTGTGTTTTGTGTTGCGTATGTTGTGTGTTGTGTGTGTTGTGTGTTGTGGTTCGTTTGTGGTGTGTGTGTGTGTGTTGTGTGTGTGTTGTGTGTTGTGTGTGTTGTGTGTGATGTGTGTGATGTGTGTGTGTGTTGTGAGTTGCGTGCTGTGTGCTGAGTGCTGTGTGTTGTGTGTTGTGTGTTGTGTGCGTGTGTGTGTACATGTGTGTGCGCTGTGTGTGGCGTGTTCCATGTTAGCCATTTGGTTCAAGCGTTTAGTTGAAGCCGTCTGAGCTCGAGCGCGCCCCTGGTTCAGGTGCGGCGTTCTGGCCACTGCATGATGGACACCGCGGTGGCAGCGGCAGCGGGCGGTTGCCTCCGCCCGCGCTGCCAGCGCTTCGGGCGGCGAGGGCGCCGCTGGAGCTGCTGGCGCTGGCGGCGCAGTCGGCGCCGCGGGCGCCGCGGGCGCTGCCGGCGCCGCGGGCGCTGCCGGCGCTGCGGGCGCCACGGGCGCCACGGGCGCCGCGCGCGTTCCTGGCGTTGCGGGCGCCACGGGCGCCGCGGGCACCGCTGGCGCCGAGGGCGCCCCAGGCCTCGTGGGCGCCGTGGGTGCCGCTCGGGCTGCTCGCGCCGCGTGTGCCGCCGGCGCCGCCGGCGCTGCTGGCGCTGCAGGCGCTGCCAGCGCTGCGGGCGCCGCTGGCGCCTCGTGCGTTGCGGGCGCTGCGGGCGCCACTGGGGCCGCGGGCGCCGCGGGCGCCGCGGGCGTTGCTGGCGTCGCGAACGCCGGTGTCGCCTCCGACGCTGCGGGCGCCGTCGACGCCGTGGGCGCCGCGGGCGCGGCTGGCGCCGCCTGCGCCGCCGCGGGCGCCGCTGCGGCGGCGGCCGCTGCTGGGCTCCAGGCGGCCACGGCCACCCTTCCCCTGGCGGCAGCAGCTGCGGCCCGCGCGGCAGCCGACCGAGCGCGCTGCCTGGCCTGGAGCATGGATTCCAGCTGCTGGAGCTCAAACGGCACGACGAACTCCACCAACAGGACCGTCTGCAGCATGACGCAGCAGCACCAGCGTGAGCAGCACGATGGACCTCAGCAGCACGACCGCGAGCAGCACGACGAGCTCCAGCAACGCCACCCCGACCAATGCGCACGAGAAGGACTGGCAGGAGCAGTGAAAGCTGGCCCTCGCGCTGCTCCGAGATCTGGTGGGAATGAAGCCAGAGCCCACTGTCAGCTGCTCCAGCACCCCGACCAATGTGCGCGAGCAGGAATGGCAGGGGCAGTGGTGGCCAGCCCCTGCGCTGCTCCGAGGTACGTTGGGAGCGACGCCGGAGCCCACCATCAGCTGCTCCACCGCCCCGACCAAGGCGTGCGAGGAGGACTGGCAGGGGCTGGCGGCCGGCCCTGGCGCTGCTCAACAAGATGATGAGAGTGAAGCTAGAGCCCGCCATCATCTGCCACCGCGCCCCGGCCAGCGCGCGCGAGAAGGATTGGAAGGAGCAGCGGCAGCCGATCCTGGCACTACTCCGAGAGATGTCGTAGGCGAAGCTGGAGCCCGCCATCGTCGCCCACTCCAGCACCCCGACAAGCGCGCGAGACTGACTAGCTGGGGCAGTGGCAGACGGCCCCGGGGCTGCTCAAAGGGATGCCGAGGGCGAAACTGGAGCCCACCATCGCCATCTGCCACAGCGCCCCGATCAGCGCGCGCCGGGAGGACCGGCAGGAGCAGCGGCAGCCGATCCTGGCGCCATTCCGGGAGATGCGGGGAGCGAAGCTGGAGCCCACCATCATCTCCGTCTGCTACAGCGCCTTGTTTAGCGCGCGCGAGAAGGACAGGCACGGGCAGCAGCAACCAGCCCCGGCGCTGCCCCGAGAGATGTCGGAAGCGAAGCCGGCGCCCGCCATCGCTCAGTCCAGCACCCCGACCAACGCGCGCGAGAAGGGCGGGGAGGGGCAGGGGCGGCTGGCCCTGGCGCGTCTCAACGAGGCGCTGGGAGCGAAGCTGGAGCCCCCATCATCGGCAACATCGCCAGCTGCAACACGCTGATCAGCACGCGCGGGGCGAGCGCGCACAGCGAGATGCTGGTCGCGCGGCTGGGGCCCATCATCACCCGCTACAGCGCCCTGATCAGCGCTCGGGAGATGGACCGGAAGGGGCAGTTGCAGGCGGTCCTGGCGCCGCTCCGAGAGACGTTTGGAGTGAAGCCAGAGCCCGCCATCATCCATTCCAGCACACCGACCAGCGCGCGCACGAAGAACAGGCAGGGGGGGTGGCAGCTGGCCCCGGCGCCGCGCAGCGAGATGCTGGGAGCGAAGCTGGAGCCTACCATCATCTGCCACAGCACCCGGATGAGCCCGCGCGAGACGAACATGCACGACGAGATGCGGGGCGCGACGTTGGAGACCGTCCTCATCCGCTACAGCGCCCCGAGCAGCGCGCGCGAGAAGGACATGGCAGGGGCAGCGGCAGCTGGCCCTGGCGCTGCTCCAAGAGATGGCGGGGGCGAAGCTGGGGCCCGCCATCATCTTCCCCAGCGCCCCGATCAGCGCGCGCCTCGTGGGTCGCGGGGTTCGCTCGGTCGCAGTCGTCGTCGGTCGCGGGCTCGGCCGTGTCGCGGGGTCGGCCGCTGTCGTTTTTTCCAGGCTCCCGTCCTGCCCTTGCCTTGCTTGCTCTTTCCCCACCTCTCCCCCTCCTTCCGGGTCGTCCCCACCACGGGGGTGGAGCTTTTTCGGCGCCTGGACCTCTTTATCCCGGCGTCGCATCTTCAGAGCCCCCCGAGCTGCTCGCGCTCGGTCTGGGCTCCTGGCTCCGCGTGGGCGGGCCTCTTGGGGTGTCCTTGCGTCTGCCACCGCCGAGGCCTTTCCTGCACGTGATGCTTGTCCTCAGGCTCGGCGTGGGCTCGTCATCTGGGCCTTCTGCGAGCCTCGCGGCGCCGCCCGCGTCTTGTCCGAGACGTCCTTGGTCGATGTGGCGGCGACCTCGGCGGCGGCGCGCACAGGGCACCTCGCGCCTCCACTTCCGTTGCTCGAGCGGCGCCTTACCAATCTTCTCTGGTCGGCGCCTCTATTGCAGCCTGTTTTCGGCCAACCTGGGCGCGTCACCGGCATTGGCCTGCTTTGGTGGCGCGTGCTGCTCCGTCACCACCCATACAGCAAGCACTTCACTTGTTTTGGGTCGGCATTGGGCGCGGCAGGTTCGCAGGTTGGCACCCTGTTCATCAGTTTCGCCATGCCGCGGTTTCTCCAGTGCCACTTGTTCTTCGGCTGGTCTGGCAGTTTTTGACCGGCTTTCGATGTGTGCCATCAATGTATAGCATCATTGCGATGATGCAGTGGCACCAAGTAGCACCAGACTGCTGTTGGCGCTTCAACGTACTCGAGTCGAGCTTATGCTCCTCGTTCTGTTGGTCGCTTCACTTTGGTTTTACAGCGCAGTGCTCTTTGTACAGCAACAAATCGCATTTCAGCACAGCCGTGGCTGGACGTGTTCAACATGGTGCATTCGGCTAAGTTTGTTCGCAATTGGCACCTCCACTGGCCGACCGCGCCTGAGGCTCCTCTGCGCCGCTAACTTAAAAGTGTGTAGTGCGTGTTCGAGGGGGTGGGGCAAACAAGAAGCAACAGCAAAACAACATATGGACTTTTCAAAAAGATTTGTCCCAACCATCCTGTGTTGTTGAGTCATCGTTTTGAAGAGACGGTCCCCGCGTCCCTTCTCCCTCCTTCCTCCCCTCCCCCCTCCTTCTTCTTCCCTGCGTTCCACACGCCACTACAGCGCTTCGTGGCCCCATAGGGAGCTCCACCGAAGCCCCCGGTGGGACCGTCCGCATGCGTCCTGGAAGCCCGATTTTGCATTTTCACCCACCCAATACAGCGCTTCGTGGCCACATAGGGAGTTCCACCGAAGCCCCCAGTGGGACCGCCCGCATGCGCCCTGGAAACCCAATTTGGCACGTTCACCTACCCAGTACAACGCTTCGTGACCCCAGAGGGAGCTCCACCGAAGCCTCCAGTGAGACCGCCCGTATGCGTCCCAGAAACCCAACGTGGCATGTTCACCCACACAGTACAGCGCTTCGTGGCCCCATAGGGAGCTCCACCGAAGCCCCCTGTAGGACGCCCGCATGCGTCCCAGAAAACCAACTAGTTTGCATTGCACCCACGCAATATTGCGCTTCGTGGCCCCATAAGGAGCATCGCCGAAACCCCCAATGGTGCGTCCTTCGCCCACCCAGTACAGCGTTCCGTGGCCCCATAGGGATCTCCACCGAAGCCCCCTGTGGGACGCCCGCATGCGTCCTGGAAGCCCACTTTGGCATCTTCACCCACCCAGTACAACGCTTCGTGGTCCGACACGGATCTCCACCGAAGCCCCCAATGGGTCCGTCCGAATGCGCCAAGGAAGCCCAAGTTGGCACTGTCACCCACCCAGTATTGCGCTTCGTGGCCCCATAGGGAGCCCCACCGAAGCCCCCAGTGGGACCGCCCGCATGCGTCCCGGATACCCAATTTGGGCATTTTCACCCACCCAGTACAACGCTTCGTGGCCCCATAGAAAGCTCCACCGAAGCCCCCAGAGGGACTGTCCGCATGCGTCCCGGAAACCAAATTGGGCATTTTCACCCAACCAGTACAACAATTCGTGGCCACATAGGGAGTTCCACCGAAGGCTCCAGTGGGACCGTCCGCTGCGACCCCGAAACCCAATTTGGCATTTGCACCCGCCCAGTATATCCTTTTGTGTGGCCCCAGAGGGAGCTCCACCGAAACCCCCAATGGGACCGTCCGCATGCATCCCGGAAACCAAATTTGGCACACCTCTCATACGTTTCGTGACCCTATACGGAGCTCCACCGAAACCACCAGTGGGACCGCCCGCATGCGTTCCACACACCAAATCTGGCATTTTCACCCACCCAGTGCAGCGCTTCGTGGCCCCATAAGGAGCTCCACCGACGGCCCTAGTGCTACTTCGTTCCCCCCGCACCCAGTGCAGCGCTTCGTGGCCCCATAGAGAGCTTCATCGAAGAAGATATCCCAAAACTCGGTACCCACAACTGCATATAGTTGGGTCCTTCGCTTGGGTAATGTTTTGCCCCCCCCCCCACCCACCCCCCACCCCCCACACACACCAGCAGCACCAGTGCATTGGGAGAGCGGGCGCACCAAATGGGACCCCTTTTGCCAGGAGTCCAGATAGACTGTGGGCTGCGCGGGACGGTAAGCACGTGTATGCATGTATGTGCCTGTTTATGGGTGTTGGCCAGAAGGACTGACGGTCGAAGACCCCCGCAACACGAGCACACCCCCTAAAACCATCGTCAATCGCGAGAGGGGGGTCTAAAACCTCCCAATAAAGATTGCATGTGTTGGCAGGCGAATGCGCCAGGACCCGTGCACATGTGTGCATGTGTGTACCCGTTTCTCTTTTTTCTCTCTCTCTCTCTCTCTCTCTCCCTCTCTCTCTATATATATATATATATATATATTCATCTCTATCTCTCGTGTGTACTATATTGTTCTCTATTGTTATGTCTATCGTGTTTCGTTGTCTGTATCTGATTGCCTCTTTCCGTGTGTAAACATATGTGCATAAGCAACCATCCAGCATGCATACATGCATGCCTGTATACGTACATGTATACATACACCCATGTATACATACATGCATGCATGCGTACATACATACAGACATGTGTGCGTGCATGTATGCTGCATACAGATATGCATACATGCATGCATACATGTATGCATATATATACATATATACATACATACATACATACATACATACATACATACATGCATGCATGCATGCATGCATGCATACATACATATATACATACATACATACATACATACATACATACATACATACATACATACATACATACGCGCATACATACATACATACATGCGTACGTGCATGCATGCATATATGTATGTATGCATACATGCATATATTTATATATATGTGTGTGTATGCGTGCACGCATGCATGCATGCACACATGCATACCTACATGTGTAAATATAGATATATAATGTATACACCTGTGTATAAGTATTGCCTGTGTGTGATATCTCTCTCTCTCTATATATATATATATCTCGCTCTCTCTCAATTTCTCGATATTTCTCTCTCTCACTCTTTCTCTACCTCGCTCTCTCTCTCTCTTTCTGTTTCTCTGTCTCTCTTCTGTCTCTCGTTCTCTCGCTCTCTCTCTCTCTCTCTCTTTCTCTCTCGTTCTGTGCAGCAATGTGTATACGCACGCCTCTACCTCGCACGCATTTGGTATACCGCGTCTGTGTAACGCTCCCCCCTTGTATGCGTCTGGCCTCGGCCTACGTCTATTCAGGCGGGCCCGTTTTCAACCCCGCACGGTGTCGAGAACTTGCGTTCGCATATGTGTTTCTTCCAGGAGGCCCGTGCCGGTGCTCGAGAGCCACCCAGAACTATGGCCCGCGGACCGTTCCGAGGCCGAGGCAGGGCGACAGGCTTGAGCCCACTGACGCAGCATACGCTGTGGACCCGCAGAGGCTGGGCCTCGAACTCCGACGCCGTGGTCTTCCGAGCTGCGTGGGCCCCCAGAGGCCTGGACCCCTGCCCGCGCTGCCTGCTTCTCGGCCCTGAGTCGGCGGCTGACGCTCGCGGGGCCCGGTAGGGGCCCCTGGAGTCCGAAAATTGTGGGCGTAGAACAGCGTCCATCGCGTTTTGTTCGCGACGACACGGGGTGGGAGGTATGGGCGGGGGAACACACCCTCTGCCTCCTCCTCTCCCTCGTGGTCGCGGTCACGCGAGTCGGTGGCCTTGGCGAGGGGGTGACGGCGGGAGTGGCAGTACCGAAACGCGCCCAGAGTCCAGCAAGGCATGAGGTGCAAACCCGATTTGTCTGGCCGATTCTCCAGAGGAGGGGAGCTGTGTTCAGGGCAGGCTGCAGCACCGCTCAATAATGTGCTGTCAACCAAGCCTGCAGACTGGGCCCTTGCAAGTTTTCGGAGCGCTTCAGCCTCGGCCTCGGCTGTGGGTGCACCGCGAGGCGCCTTCGCACCAGCTCACCCAAGTGGTTTCCTCGCGCTCGCATCGGTGCCTGCCCCCCCTGTCAGCCCCTGTGGGACTTACCTCGGCCGTCGCTTCCCCTGGGGGCGGCACCCGCCCGTGGTAGTTGTGAGCTGTGCCTCGCGCCTTCGAGAAGGAACGAGCCGCATCTTTCCTCGCCGAGGAGGAGGAGGAGGAGGAGGAGGAGGAGCAGGAGGAGGAGGAGGAGGAGGAGGGGGGAGGGAGAGGAGAGGAGGAGGAGGAGGAGGAGGAGGAGGAAAAGGAAGAGGAGGAGGAGGAGGAGGAGAAGGAGGAGAAGGAAGAGGAGGAGGAGGAGGAGGCGAGGACTCGTCGTCGCTCTCCCGCGAGGTGGGCCGTGGAGAAGGGGCGGAGAGACATCGTCGACTTCGTGCGAAAACAGGACCTGGGCGAGGCCGAGGAGGGCCAGCTCCCCCGGACCTACCAGGAGAGCGGCCCGCCTGCCGCTGCGCCAGGGCACCCTGGGGAGGCCGGTCCCTCTCTTTCGGAGGCCAGGAACTCTGGCTTAGCGTGTCTGGGCATGGGTGGTCGGTGGGTGGGTGGATGGTGGATGGATGGCCGGACCCCCCGCCCTCTGTCCCACTTTGCAGCTCGGCGGCCGTCATGCTATCCTCCATCGTTCGCTGCGGCGCAGCTTCGCTGCCGTGTTTTACGGTGTAGGTCGAAGTGCTCACAGGCTTTGCGGTGCAAAAAAAAATCCCGGCAAAGCAACTTAACAGCGATGTGTAGGAGCATATCTGGAAGCATTCCCTTTAAGATTCAGATGAGAATCCAGTTGTAGAATTCTGCTGTTCTCGCAGTCGTAGTCGCATTCGCGATGACAGTCGCAGTGGCAACGGCAGTCGCAGTCACGGCCTCAGCCTCAGCCTGCCTCAGCATCAGCCTCAGCCTCAGCCTCAGCCTGCCTCAGCCTCAGCCTGCCTGCTTCAGCCTCAGCCTCAGTCTGCCTTCAGCCTCGGCCTCAGCCTCAGCCTGCCTCAGCCTCAGCCTCAGCCTCCTCAGCCTCAGCCTCAGCCTCAGCCTCAGCCTGCAGCCTCAGCCTCAGCTTTCAGCCTCGGCCTCAGCCTCAGCCTGCCTCAGCCTCAGCATCAGCCTCAGCCTCAGCCTCAGCCTGCCTCAGCCTCAGCCTGCCTCAGCCTCAGCCTCAGCCTGCAGCCTCAGCCTCAGCCTGCAGCCTCAGCCTCAGTCTGCCTTCAGCCTCGGCCTCAGCCTCAGCCTGCCTCAGCCTCAGCCTCAGCCTCAGCCTCAGCCTCAGCCTCAGCCTGCCTCAGCCTCAGCCTCAGCCTCAGCCTGCCTGCCTCAGCCTCAGCCTCAGCCTCAGCCTCAGTCAGCCTTCAGCCTCGGCCTCAGCCTCAGCCTGCCTCAGCCTCAGCCTGCATCAGCCTCAGCCTCAGCCTCAGCCTGCCTCAGCATCAGCCTGCCTCAGCCTCAGCCTCAGCCTGCCTCAGCCTCAGCCTGCTTCAGCCTCAGCCTCAGTCTGCCTTCAGCCTCGGCCTCAGCCTCAGCCTGCCTCAGCATCAGCCTGCAGCCTCAGCCTCAGCCTCAGCCTGCCTCAGCCTCAGCCTTCAGCCTCAGCCTCAGCCTCAGCCTGCCTCAGCCTCAGCCTCAGCCTGCCTCAGCCTCAGCCTCAGCCTGCTTCAGCCTCGGCCTCAATCTGCCTTCAGCCTCGGCCTCAGCCTCAGCCTGCCTCAGCCTCAGCCTCAGCATCAGCCTCAGCCTCAGCCTCAGCCTCAGCCTCAGCTCAGCATCAGCCTGCCTCAGCCTCAGCCTCAGCCTGCCTCAGCCTCAGCCTCAGCCTGCTTCAGCCTCAGCCTCAGTCTGCCTTCAGCCTCGGCCTCAGCCTCAGCCTGCCTCAGCCTCAGCCTGCATCAGCCTCAGCCTCAGCCTCAGCCTGCCTCAGCATCAGCCTGCCTCAGCCTCAGCCTCAGCCTGCCTCAGCCTCCTCAGCCTCAGCCTGCTTCAGCCTCAGCCTCAGTCTCAGCCTTCAGCCTCGGCCTCAGCCTCAGCCTGCCTCAGCCTCAGCCTGCATCAGCCTCAGCCTCAGCCTCAGCCTGCCTCAGCATCAGCCTGCCTCAGCCTCAGCCTGCCTCTGCCTCAGCCTCAGCCTGCCAGCCTCAGCCTCAGTCTGCCTTCAGCCTCGGCCTCAGCCTCAGCCTGCCTCAGCCTCAGCCTGCCTCAGCCTCAGCCTCAGCCTCAGCCTTTCAGCCTCAGCCTCAGCCTCAGCCTTCAGCAGCCTCAGCCTCAGCCTCAGCCTCCTCAGCCTCAGCCTCAGCCTCAGCCTCAGCCTCAGCCTCAGTCAGCCTCAGCCTGCCTCAGCCTCAGCCTGCATCAGCCTCAGCCTCAGCCTCAGCCTGCCTCAGCATCAGCCTGCCTCAGCCTCAGCCTCAGCCTGCCTCAGCCTCAGCCTGCTTCAGCCTCAGCCTCAGTCTGCCTTCAGCCTCGGCCTCAGCCTCAGCCTGCCTCAGCCTCAGCCTGCCTCAGCCTCAGCATCAGCCTGCCTCAGCATTCAAAATGTGGCCCGGGAATGGAGTTCTGGGATCTCGAAGAACACGAAGTGGCCTACAGTTGGCTCCGGGCATTCAAAATCATGCCCAGGAATGGAGTTCTGGGAACTCGAAGACCACGAAGTGGCCTACAATTGGCTCCGGGCATTCAAAATCATGCCCAGGAATGGAGTTCTGGGATCTCGAAGACCACGAAGTGTGTTACGGTTGGCTAAAGAAGGAATCCCCGGCATCCTCCCCCGGATCGCGCCCAGACCCCTTTGGAGCGTCATGATGCTCTCTTTTGACCCTACTAGAAACCTATCCGTCTTCGCTGTTAGGCAACAATAAAAATAACAGCACCAACAACAACAACAACAACAACGACAACAACAACGACAACAATATCAATGATAATAACAACAACAACAACAACAACAACAACAACAACAACAACAACAACAACAACAACAACAACAACAACAACAACAACAACAACAACAACAACCACAACCACAACCACAACCACAACCACAGCCACAACCACAACCACAACCACAACCACAACCACAACAACAACCACAACCACAACAACAACAACAACATTATCAATAATAATAACAACAATAATAATAATAATAATAATAATAATAATAATAATATCAACAACAACAACAACAACAAAAACAAAAACAAAAACAAAAACCACAACAACAACCACAACAACAACAACAGCAAAGCTCTGGCTCAGCGCGTCTCTCTCCACGGGGCTGTGGCCCACCACGCGGACCACCTCCGAGGCTCCCCAGGGCGCCCGCGCCCCGAGCAGCCCCCGGCCTCCCGCCCCGCGACGCGGAGCGACACGCCGTCGACTCGCAGGGCACGCAGCGTGCCGCCAGGGCCGCCGCTGCGAAACGCTGAGCACAGTTCGGGCCCGGCGAAACGTTCGAGCGCCAGGACAGTACCAAGACTCGAGGGTCTTCTCGCGTCGGGCCCTGGGAGACGCTCGTCCGACACCGCCTCGACACTCTCTCGACACTCTCTCGACACTTTTCCAGGTGCTCGAACTGATTTCTGGGATGTGGTCCTTATCAGGGGCGGAAAAGAGGGGGGTGATGACTAGGGGGGGGTGGATATCATGGCGGGGGCCATGATATTTCCCCAGATTTCGTGGCGCCTCTTCTTATTTCATGACGTCCCTGGCCCCCCCGCTGGGCCGCGCACATGCCGCCGGTCATGATTTGCACCCCCCCCTCTTGGACACCCCCCTCTTGGCCGCTCCCGACAAAGGGGGGGGGGTGAGAATCAGCTCACGTAGCTGATTTTCCCGGCGCCTCCCGGCGCCAGAGGCGGCCGTGTATCGAGGAAGGGGCCCCTCGGTGGGGCCGAAACCAGCTGCATGCAGCAGCTTTCGTAACCCCCCCTTTCCCAATCCCCCCCCCTTCGTCCGGCCCGAACAAGTTCCGGTTCGCAAGTATCCAGTGCAGCGACACGAACGCGATTTGTGCAGCCGCTGTCCTGTCTGAGGGCCTCGGCGAGGCTGAGGAGGACCAGCTACCCCGGACCTGCCAGGAGACGGGCCACCAGCCGCTGCGCATAGGGCACACTGTGGAGATCGGTCCCTCCCCCACCCCCTCTCGCCGTGGGAGAATCACGCCGGATTGTTTTCTACCAGTTTTTCGGCTTCTGGGGCCCCTCACTAAGCCTAGGGACAGTCAAAAAAACAGTCCAGGATGAGAAGCCGGATTCCAGAGAAGGAGGAGGAGAAGGAGGAGGAGGAGGAGGAGGAAGAGGAGGGGAAGGGATCCAGACCTCTAGGGGGTCCACACTGCTAGGAAATAGCGACGTCGGACTTCTGTGCTGTCCCTTAACATCATGCTATCAAATTCAGCGGCACGAGCGCGACTTATGCCGACACTGTCGTGCTGGGCGTTCTGTGGCCCAACCGTATAGATTATGTACTTCTTGATTCTGCGCGGGATAGATGTCTTCCTGGAGAGGGTCATCCACAGCACACCTGTTTACCCGGCATGCGCATTTGTTAGGCCGCAGGGGCATCGAGGCAAAAAGCCTCCCACTTCGTTGTTCTACTTCTGAGTTGCATTAAAGGTTCTGTGAGCATGATTCCATGAGACTGAAGTGCCGTAATGTTTGCGGTTGCCGATCTCCCGGTTTCTTTATTACCACAGACATTTTGAGATCCTCACGGCGGCTTCTCGAATGTGCAGATATTTTGCGTGGCCCGATTTTGAATTGGCACTATATCGACAGGTCGAGGAATAAAATTGCGATAGTCTCGGCCCAGACGTAAATTCCCTTGCCCCCTCTTCCACACATTCCACCTCCCCATCCTTGGCTTGAGTTCGCACCCTGTCCATGCCCGTCGTCCATTATGATGCTACGTGTTTGTGTTTGCATGGATACTCCAGCTCGGGTCCTGGGTGAAGGTGTCAGTTTGACTGGACATCAATGTTTGGGCGTTTGGATGAGCATGCTTGCCAACACACGACCGGAAAGGTCGCTTGTGGTTTGGGCAGAGGCTGAGGACCCATTCACATAAGTCCACAATGGAGGCGGCCGCGGCAAGACAGAAGCCTGAAAGGAGTTCCATCGGTGTTTTGATCATTCACTCTCGATCCCGTCGTCTGGATAATCCTGCTCGTCGCTACCCTCGCCAACCTTCGTCGTCTTTGCGTGCCATCCCCAGAGGAACTGCTGCACCAAATCGAGCGCTTCGGATGGGACAGGATGCAATGGAAGGACAGCTTGCGGAGCAACATTTCGCTAATTAAAAGAATCGGCAACTATTAAGTTGCATGGGAGAATTCAAGAAACATTGCCCAGATAGGGTTGTCAGCAGGTTGCCTAGGCATTGTCCAGTCCAGAAATTGTTTGCAAGCGCTTCCGCCGCACAGCATCTTAAATGAGGCAAGAGGCAGGAGTAGCAGCAGCAGTACGTAGGAGAAGGAGGAGCAGGAGGGGGAGTTAGGGCCGTACATGGATCGAGCCAGGAGGCTGGAGCCTGAAAAGCCCCAGGTGGAAGGGACAGCAGATGAACAAAACGTTCGAAGCCTTGCAGAGGCGAAGGGAGTGCCGATCACCCCGCCCACCCACCCCCCGCCACCCCTCCCATATCAACGCTGATAGCAGCACACATGTGGACGGTGGTTTGTCGGCCCGATTGCTTTGGTCTACTCAAGCTCCCTCCTCTGGGAACATCCGCACACGCGCACACAAGCACACTTGTTGTGTCGGCGGCTAGGCAGAGTGATTGCGCTGGCGGAATGCGCAGATGTACGGCATAACCCCAGGAAGCATTTAAGAACCCCCCCGGCGATATCGTAGCACCGCATTTTTTATTCGATATTCCGAGGGGACGAAATAATCGAACGATAGCTTTAGCATCCATCATCATCATCATGCTTATCATCATCAGGTAACACTTCCAGGGTGCGGAAGGGTTATCGATTTGCCGGAGGGGGGGGGGTCTTAAATGCTTCCTGGGGTTACAGATGCGAACTAGACCGCGATGCACGTGGGGAGGAGGGGGGGCCCGGCGCGGGCGGGAGGGAGGAGAAGCCAGGCCCACTCAGAGCAGGGCCAGGCGGCGGGGGGGCAGGCGCGGGGGCGCACACACACACGCCCTTTCTGATCGTTCGCCGGCAGGAGCCACTCGATGCCGGCTGACGTCGCCCGACGCGCGCGCCCGCCGGTCCGAGAAGAGGCGTCGCGCTGGGCCCTCGAGGGGCAGCAGGCACGGCAGGCGCCGGGCCTCCTTGGGCCGAGGCGCTCTGCGAGGAGCGCACGCCCACACACACGACGGGCGGAAGGCCGAGGCCGGCCAGGAGCAGGGCGACGAGGGGCCAGGGAGGAGAGCGCAAGGTCTGGGGGAGCCTCCCTCCCTCCCTCCCTCCCTCCCTGAGCGCAGGGTCTGGGCCTCCCAGGTGGGGTCGGAGCGGATGGGGTCGGAGGATCGCGCCGCATCGGCGATGCATCGGCGGTGCGGCTCGATGTGGAGCCCGATTTTGACCACGCTGGCGTCGCCGATGCACCGCCGACGTCGCCGATGCATCGCCGATGCATCGCCGATGTATCGCCGATGCGGCGCGATCCTCCGACCCCATCTAGGAGGTCCCTACAAGGGCAAGGGGGGCCAAGCAAAGAGGTGAGGGAAGCGAGGAGCGAGGAGCACCCACGCGCACGTACAGTGGAGGCCCTATCCAAGAAGCACCCTGCTCGCCTCCACAGTGCCCTGGGTTTCTTGGGTTTCGAGGGTTTTGCTGTGGAAGGCGTGGCGTTCCCACGCCAGGGGTTTCAATGGACGTCCTGGTGTCTCAGGGTTGGATTTCTTGCGGAAGGTTTCTTATGACCGGGCCTCCACTGTACACACTCACACATGTTCCATCTGACGCGCCAGTCGGTTACAGCCTGCGTTGAGAAGTCGAGCAGGGACTCTGCCAAGACGAGGAATCCACAGTTGTGTGCACGTTCAAAAGAACAGAAACTCCCAGCGCGAGTCGAACGCAGCCGACCACTGAGCTGTGGAATGCGGGCGAGGCACGGCGATAGCCAGGGCCACGCAGGGAGGGAGAGGGGCGGAGCAAAACAGACCGACGGACAACACAAACGCAAATTTAACACCCGCGAGCCACTGGAACATTCAACTGGCTGGTTATTTAGCACTGCCCAATGCTGTCTGCATCAACGAGGAGGATCAACACACATACTCACATCCACGCACCTTATAACATTCATCGGTGGGACCCAGATTCTGCGCCGCAGGCTCGCATGTGCTCCCCGCCCCCAGGAGGGGGAACGCACGGAGAAAGCAAAGCCGACATAAAGAAACAGCGGATACGAAAAATTGTTCTCCAGTCTCTGCTTGCTTGCCAGCCGCTCGCGCTTGGGGGGGAAAGGGGGAAAAGAGGGGAGGAGGAGGAGGAGGAGGAGGAGGAGGAGGAGGAGGAGGAGGAAGAAGAGGAAGAGGAAAAGAAAGTAGGAGGAGAGGACGAGGAGGAGGAGGAGGGGGAAAAGGGGAAAAGAGGGGAGGGGAGGTCAGAACGGACCCGCGCCCTCAGATCGAGGCTGGCCGCCGAGACGGGGGAGACGAGGCGGGAGCAGGGAACCAGGGGCCCCTGTTTTCCATCACCAGCACTGTAAGTTGGAGGGGGGCAGTAGGTGGAGGAGGACGAGGTGGACGAGGTGGAGGAGGAGGAGGAGGAGGAGGAGGAGGAAGAGAAGGAGGAGGAGGAGGAGGAGGAGGAGGAGAGGAGGAGGAGGAGGAGGAGGACCCCCTCCCCCTCCTACTTATGGTGGCGGCGGTGGAAAACAAGCCCACCAAGGGGGAGCCGCCCCGCGGACCCGTGGCGGAGTCACCTCCCAGCCGAGCCTTGGGGTTCAAGCTGCCCCCTCGTGGTCGCTCCCTCGCGGCTCCGGCACCGCAGGCCCCCCAGGCCAACGCCGGGGGTTGCCGAGGGCTGTCCCTGGCCCACGCTGGGGCCCCCGAGGCCCTCTGGACCTAGTGGGGGAGGGAGGGAGGGAGGGAGGGGGGGAGGGAGGGAGGGAGAGAGAGAGGCAGGAAGGTAGGGAGGTAGGGAGGAGGAGAAGGAGGAGGAGGAGGAGGAGGAGGAGGGGGAGGGAGGGCTACGATCGACGATCCTTCCAGCCATCAGGAACAGGAGGAGGAGGAGGAGGGCGAGGGATGCTCTGAAGGCCGTGAGGCTTTCCTTGGAAATCCTGGGGGCACCTTGGGCCAGGGACACATCTGGCAGCACCCGACGACGGGGATTCGCCTCCCCGTTGTTTCTGGAGACGGCGCCGGGAGCGTTGCCTTTGCTCGAGGGGGGCAGGCGCCGTGGGCGGAACAGGGAGAAGCAGCTCGCGGGAGGAGAAGGAGGAGGAGGAGGATTTTGGGCAGCTCCCAGGTTCGAGTCGGGAAGCTGGAGCCTGAAGACCAGAAATGGGGGGAGGGAGGCATCGACTGCGCGTTTCCCGCAGATTGTCCAGCCTTGTTATGTTTTCTGGCAACTTGCCAAGAGCGTTCTGGGGGTAATCTAGATCTTCCCGAGCGGCCGCCTGAGACCCGAGTTATGGCCCGAAAGCCAGGCGACGAGGAAACGCGGGGTGACGCTTCCACAGAGTGACCTTTGGTGCAGGCCCGTTGGGGTACCCCGATCGCTCAACACGATGCGACAGCAGCGGCTTGTGCGCTTGGGCGTGGCCTCCCTAAAGCCGCGCACGAACAAGCTCTTGTCTAGGCTAGGGCCACTCCCGCGTGTAGCCGAAGTGCCAGCGGACGGAGACTGGCATCAAATAAGCTTTTCCGCCGTCGGGGAGGCCTGACCAGGACGGCTGGAGAGTTTATACCCTGCCGTGCCACCGTAGGGGCAAAACATGTTCCAGCCGCCCTGGTGCAGGCGCCCCGACGGCGAAAAAGTAAGTCAGCGCTGGGGGGGGGGGGGGGGGGGGGGGGGGGGCGAACTGGTCGACGCCCCCGTGCCGAGGCTGCTCGCAAAGATGGGGGGGGAGGGGGGGGGGGAGGCCAGGACTGGGGAAGGAGAGGGAGGGCTGGGCGGCGTGGCGGCGAGGGAGGGTTCTGCGCGGGGCCCCTGCGCGTGGCGGCTTTCATCCACACGCGCCTCTCTCTCCCACTGCCATCGTACGATGGCCGCTACGGGCACATCGCTCGAACACCTGCAACCCGAGACTCCCTCCCTCCTCCCTCCCACCTGCCTTGGGACGGACCTGATCGGTTCGCTGTGCCATGGGAGCTGGTACTCCTCGTTCAGTTTGGCAGATGTGGAGGAACTCTGGTGGTGGGCCTGCACGCCTGAGCGCGGCAATCTACATCCTACGTATACCGAAGCCGTTCGTGTGCGAGCTCCGGTCATTGCGGCTGCAGGGTCCGAGTTTGCCCACTTCTCGGATGGCCCGAGTGGCTCCTCAACTCCATCGGCAGACTATCTTGGCACAAACATTGCCAGATAGCGTTCGGCGGATCGGTGCACGCCGGCATGGAGATTACGAGGGGGATTCGCCAGGGATGCCCATTATCTCCACTGCTGTTCGCGGCTGTGTCCGACCTCTACCTGCGCAGGCTGTCCCGGCTTTTCCCAGACGCCACGTTCCGAGCCTGGGCCGACGACTTGGCCATGGTGCTGCCGGGCGCGCTGCCGAGGCTCGCGGGCCTGGAGGCCTTCTTCGCCGAGTTCGCCCAGATTTCGGTCTGCGCCTTGGCGTCCCGAAGACAGTGCTGGTCCCCCTCGACCCGTTCACAGAGCCGGACTGCTGGAAGGAGCTGGTGACGGCGGTGCCGCGCCAGGGCAGCGCGGGAGTTTGCAGAGCAGCATTTAGGCTTCTGTCTGGAGCCAGATCGAGGGCAGCGCACGTGGGACGCCCCTCTGGCCAAGTACGTCGAGCGGGCGCGCGTTTGGAGGCGGATCGGGGCTGGCGTCTTCCTCACAGCGCGGGCTTATCACAGCATCTACGTTTCGTCGGTCCTCCTCTTCGTCGCCCAGCTCGACGAGTTGCCGCTTGCCTTCGCGGCAGCGGAGCAGCGCGTCTGCGCGGCTCTGTTTCCTGGTCCTCCGGGCTGGATGCCGGCCGACTGCTTGAAGAGCCTCAAGACTATCGGCGTGGCTTGGCAGCTGAAGCACGTGGCGGCGACTGCCATTGCTGCCAAGGCGCGGGTGGTCCGAGTTGAGGCGGGGGGCGCTGCGCGCATGGCAGCGATGAGCAGTCAGGGGGATGACCACACGCTGGGCAGCGAATGCGATGGCGCTCGAGATGCTTCCTGCTCCAGCTCGCGGAAGCGGACCGCCAGGTGCAGAGCAAATTGGCACGGTTGCCTCCCGATGTGGCGCGGTTGTCGACACAAGCGGGCCGGCATAGCCGGGTGGTTTCCATGTGTCAAGAGCAGGGCGACGCGCCAGCTCAGCGCCATGTGCGTCGCCGTCTGAACCGTTGGCCGCTCGTCACTTTCCCTGGGCACAGGCTACACTGGGCGCCGAACCCGCTACAGCTCGTGGCAAGCGGCTGCGCGCCCCGGGCCACTGCAGCCTACTTGCGGGCCCTCTGCGGCGAAGTGCCCGAGCCGCTGCTTTCACGGGCAGCCTCCCTGTCTGTTTGGGCGCGGCCGCCGACCAGACGGGCTGCATCTCTTCGCGCACTGCCCGCGGCGCCTCAGCTACCTCCAGGGCTGGGCTGGCGCCGCCGCCGCTGGGGAGGAAACTGGACCACTTCCTTGGCATGGACTGGCTGGACGCGGAGACCGCCGAGCGCGACAAAGCTATCTATGCCGCATATCGGGCCCACACTTCTTTACGGCACGGGCGCATCACCAACGAGCAGGTGGACGGCGCCCTCCGGGGTGCTCTCTGGGAAGCGACGTCGAGAGCTGAGCAGCAGTTTCATGATGAACCGTATTTCCTCTCCTGGCCTCTCCCTCCCTCCCTCCCCTCCTCCTTTTTCACGGGAGCTCTGGCGCATACTTTTGCTACCGAGCTCGCTGCCCTGTACTACCCGTCACAACTCAAGACCGCCGTCACCCGAATTGGGCCTATCCAATGGAAGGGAGGTTTCTACCGCGATTTGCTGAAGTCCATCACGGCTGACCCCAGTGCCTGTGTCATCTCCCGCTCTATTCTGGTGTCTTCACAGCTTGGTAAGGCATCGCGAAGATGCTTGCGGACTAGGTCGATGCCAGCAATACTTGCCACAGCAGGGGTTACACAGGTCGGGGGAATACCAGGTCGGGGCACCGGGCATGCGTCAGTCATTATTCGTCTTGCGCAAGCTGTTGCTGCTGCTCGTGCTCTGTCTTTCGGTGCGCTATTCCTGGATGTGGTGCAGGCTTTTTACCGCACCCTACGTGAACTACTCCTTCGCTCGCCGCTCGACGATGATGCCGTTGCTTGTATTGTCAGGACAGCAGGGCGACCGTCGAGTGCCATGCATGAGCCCACACGGCGCATACGCGAGCAGACATCTATTGTGGAACAGCAAGTGGGGAACGGCACAGTACACGCGCACACAACTGCCCAGATTTCACAATACCACCGTACCCCCTGGTTCCTGTGCGAGGGCCCCGACCAGATTTCCCTGCCACAGCGTTCTGCTTTCCCTGGGCACGCCCTGGCGGATATATGGTACGAGATACTCATGGGTGAATGCATGCACGCTGTACGGGCTCAATCGGACGCTGAAGGACTAGCCCTGCATTTGCCTACAGATGAGCGCAATAGCGTGCAGAGCATAGTGACGGACGCCGACACTGCTACCACCGCGCCGCTGTTGGACGCTACCTTTGCCGATGACGGCACCATCATTGCGATTGTCCCTGCCTCCGACCTGTATCCTGCCATGTGCCGTGCGCTTACCATGGTTGCCGATGCGTTTGCTAGCAGAGGGCGCCCACTCAACCTCGGCGTTACGAAAACGGCTGCTTTGCTGGCTTACCGAGGAAAAGGAGCGAAGAAGGCGAAGCAGCACGCGTGGCGCGAGCGTGGTGGGCATGTGGTTGCGCAGACACAGCACATTGGGACTATGCGTGCACCGGTTGTCAAGCACTATGTACATCTTGGTTCAGCTATCGACTCCCAAGGTAACATGGGGCCCGAGGTCCGATATGGAGCCAGCAGTACCACAGCTACGTTGTGGGTGTTGCGCACTAGAGTATTATCCACCCAGGCTCTTGCCGATCCGACATGCATGATATTCGCCGACAGTCTGGTGTTACCGGGGCATCTTTACAACTCGGGCGCCCGGGCTATGCTAGCGACAGCGGAGGCCAAAATTGCCGACGCCGAAGTCATGAAAGTCTACCGAGCTGCGGCGAAGGTTCGTTTTGTGGAAGCCGAATCGCGCCTAAATGATGGTCAAGTGCTGGCCAGACTCAGAAGACCCCGCCCGACGTTCTAAGAAGAGCTGCGCGTGCGGGTTCACTCTTGCACACAGGGCCCAAGCTTGCATTTGCCTTGCTACAGGCCCAGTGGCGCGACACTACTCAGCATTGGGTGCCGCGCCAGGTCATGGCTGGGAATGGCCATGGACGATTGCTCGTGGCTGCGTACTGCTGCTGTCGCTCGCGCTTCTCCCCCGCCACCGCTTGAGGATTCTAGTGAACGGGAGCCCCTAATTTTTACGAAATCAAACAGCTTGGAAACGCATTATCAGGATGGCATTACACGCTACGGCCCAACCTCATGCTTGAAATGTTGAGGCGGCCACAGTGGAGGCCAAGTTTTTGTTCGGGAAGTCTGGCCCCTGGAATTGCCAGACCGTGTCTGGACGGACGTTAATGGACTACTTCTGGACCCACCTACATGCGCCTCATCCGACACAGAGGATGCTAGCGTCACGCGCCCATGGCGTGCGCGCGCCCCCCGAAAGCATGGAACATTACGTGTGCACGTGGCGCGCCCCCACCGACAGGACGCAGCTTTGGCGCGCGCATGGGCGTCGCCAGACGGACAATGTCATGCATGCCTATATGTATTTCATGCTCGGGCACACCTGGTAGATCACCTAGCACATGATTCCCCGCGGTGTTTATTTATACGGATGAGTGATCCTACCACGGCAGTTCTAGTACCAGGTGTTACTATGTCAGGCGCTGCGCCGCGCTATCATATCACGCATCCCGATTTCTCTGCCCCCATGACAGGCAGGATCCCAGGCGCGCCGTTGTCTCGCCGTCATGTTGTTGAGGCGACAGTCCGCGCAGCTGGCCCCATCGCAGAGCACGCATATCCGGTTATCGCCGCGATGGACCATGGCACTGCACGCATGGAGATTGCGGCCGCCGACCCTGTTCTCCCATCTGGTCTTGCTGCTTGCCTACAATATCCTACACCTGTGGCTGCCGCTGTTGTGCCGCCGCCACCCGCTGACCCTGTTCAGTACACAACGGAGAGATACCCCAGTCTATTATCCTCGACAGAACGGCACACTGGCATCACAGCCGAGCCCATGCCGAGAGCCGCCAGACGAGTTGAGCACTTTGTCCTCAATTTGTTTTGTGGGCGGAGGAGGGCGGGAGACGCGCAGGCACAGGTTGAATGGGCGCATTGCAGCACCGGCTATGCCATGCATGTCCCGTCTGTGGATTTAGCCATGCACGCAGTGGACGGTGATCTCATGAATCGAGACACGCTCGCCGAATGGCGGTCCCACATCCTTGCAAGAAGGGCGGCGGTGTTGGGTGGCGGGCCGCCGCGCGAGACCCGGTCAGCCTGTCGTTGGGCAGAGGGCCAAGACCCCCCGCCACTTCGGACGCATGATCAGTTTTGGGGCAAGACGGCAGTTACTGAGCGTCAGAAGGAACAGCTGCGGGCGGGCAATGCGCTATACCACGCTATGCTTGAGCTTTTCGCGGACCACATGCAGGCTGGGACATCACGTTGGCTCGAGCACCCCCAGCCGCGTGGATGGAGGTTCCAAGCTGTCAGCCCGTTTACTTGCCACCCGACGCGGGCTCTCCAGTCGCCCACCGCAGTCACGACGTCCGACTTTGATAAATGTGAACATGGTCAGACGTCACGGGCTCCGACTCGGATCGTTGCACTCAGACTGCCAGGGCCGCATGCCGCCCTGCTTGCGACACCTGGAAACGGCAGACGTCTACGCGGCAGGGACGGGCGCGAAACGCTTCTTCGGCATGATAGGCGGGAGCGGCGCACAGCAAAGAAGAAGACGCACCCCGCCGGCCCGTGCAAGCGCACTGCTGCTGCCACCGCTGAAGCAGCGCGTGCCACGCGGGAAGGGGAAGTTGATGGCACCGAGGCCGTTGTTCCAGATGACACGGGGGAGGGTTGCACAGTGCGCGATGGACTACTACGTTTCCTCGTCTCCTGGGATCCCTATTCTGGTACAGACCAGGGATGGGATCCCGACTTTTTCTCTCGGCGCACACGTCGCGTCCGACACGACCCCGAGTTAGATCGCTTTCGACCTCTACACGACCCCCCGACATCGGGGCAGGCTACCTTTCCCCCCTCACAGGTTCACGACGACACGGCGGAGGCTGGACCTCCAGGCCCACCGGAGGCTGATGAGGAGCAGGAGCATGTAGATGCACAAGCCTTCCTTGGTGACTCGCAGGGGGCACCAGACCCCCCCCCCCCCCCGCCTGCCCCAGCCCCGCTAGAGCCCGAAGTCTCGGAGCGCATCGCGCAAAACCGCGCGGGGGGGCGCGTCTGAAGAGCCGCTAAACTCCAGGAAGCGAGATAGGCTCGCTTGCGCGAGGTAGCCCCGTGGACCGCGATCTTAGCCTCGGCGGGGGCTCGTTCGGATAAGTTGCTGCCTGTCAATCATCAAGAGGTGTTCCTGGACGGGTAGGCTTTCGGATTGTGGGGAGTGGTCGGGTGGAGGTTCAGAACAGTCAGATGCTGTCTCTTCCATGCAACCGCTCTCGCCCGCTTTCTCTCTGCTTTTCCCCGTTCCGTGCTTGCCTTGCTTTGGGATGTCGATGTCATTCCTCCCACGTCGACGGCAAGGTGACGTACGACCGATGCCATTGCTCTCTCTATGTTGGCGATGCTCTCTCTGATTGAGTTACGCCAGACATTCTTTTTGGCCACGTCGCTTTTCCTTGTGATCTGCGCGCACTGGTCGTGACTGAAGCGCTGGTGCGTGGCGCGGACAGAGGCCACAGGTCGAGCGCGCGAATATCGTGCACTCCCGATGGCCCATCCACTGTACAAGCCCACGCTACTGGCTTTCGGCCCTTCGCAGGCCATCTCACCTGCCCCCCTTCTTGCTATGCTTCCTCTTGCCTCCTCCCTTCTCCTGCAGCGCTGCGTTGCGCCATGTGCGCTTTATGACGATAAGGGCGGGGGGCGTCTTGGGCATGGGCGGGCGGAGCATGTACACCTTGGCGCACGTGCTGCTAGATACCGCGTGTTTCTGCCAGCAGCTAGTGAGTGCCGCACTAAGCTGACCGTCTCCTCGGCGAATCAGAGCGCAATTCCAAAATTCCCCTCCTCCCTCTTTGAATCGCGTCGCAGTTTATTCGGGCCGGTTGGAGGCCCGCGTTGCAGCCCGCGCACTCGTCGAGGGCGGTTCCCCTCCCCTCTTCTGTCCTCCGCCTCTGTCCTCCCCTCCTGCTCCCCCTCCTCCATCGTGCACTCTCCGTTTCATTATTCTCGGGCCGGTCGGACGACGCAACATTGCGTCAGTGCGGCGATTGCCGGACGTGTTCTTTTTCGCTTCGTTTCCCGGGGCGGAAATTCGGGCTGTCATTCTTGGCGCGCGCGTCTGTCAGCCACGCGGCCGGAGCACATCTATCGGCCACGCGGCCGGGACACGATCATTTTTGTTTTTTTCTTTTTCCCCCTCTTCCTCTTCTTCCTCCTTCTCCTTCTCCTCTTCCTCCTCCTCCTCCCCCACCTCCTCCCCCCTTCGCATCGCCCCTTCTCAGGCTGCCGATGTTCTGCAAATTTGGGGTTGCCTGCTGGCGACTTTGGCTCCAGAGGATTTTGTTAATCCAGCGCGTGCCGCACGCCGCACGCCAGAGCACAGGAGCGGGAAAGTCAAGGGCATAAAAACGCCCCTACCCTGGTTTACGAGGCGCTGTGCGCTGAAACTCCTGTGGGCCGACAGGGTAAACCCTGCGTGATGTGCGGCGTCCTGGCGGCTCTCTGGGCTTGTGGGGGTTCCCAGGAGCCTTACAGACCACGCACTTGTGACCGTCAGGGTCGGGTCGCTTTTTCAAACCGTCAAGAGAACGGTTCAAATTTGTACCGCACCTCCTGGCGCTTTCCCTTTTTGTCTCTTTTCCTCCTGCGTACCGCACCTCTGGCGTACCGCACCTCCTGGCGCATCCTTCCCTTTGTGTCTCTTTCCTCCCGCCCCTGCCCCCCCGGAGGCGCAGCGCTGCCTAGCCCCATCGGGGCGGGCCGGCTCTCCGCTTCCTCTGCCCGTCCCGTCCTCGCTCCCCCCCGAATGCTGCGGCTCCAGCTCTTGCCCACCAGTCGGCCGAGGTGCAGCTGCCGCACGCGTTGCTCTTCGCCCTCCCTCCTCTCCTCCCCTCTGCTCTCCTCCTCACTCGTGGTGCGGAGCTCGCCCTCCGTGCGATGATTGGCGCTCGCGCCGGCACACGCGGAGGTGGCTGGTGGTGGGCCGCCCCGTCTCGCCGACCGCTCCCTGACCAGGGAGTCGCCAGCGAACCCGCATTGTCCCCGTTTGCCGGCCGCCTGCGGTCTTGGCTCGGCCGTCTTTTCACCCTGACTGTCTCCAGCATGCTGCGTCCTTCCCGGCCGAGGGCGGACGCATTGCAGTTTCAGCGCACTTTGTATGTTTGCTTCCCTTCTTCTTCCCCTCCCCCCCCCCTTCAATGCGGCTGCTTCGTTTTTTTCTTGACTGGGGTAAGTCGGGCATGCAGCCTAATACTTGCTAGCAAGCGTGTTCGTCCCCCTCCTCCCCCTCCTCCTCCTGACCTCTCCTTCCCCTCCCCCTTCTTCTCCTCCTCTTGTGGCTGTTCCTGCACATCGGCACTCCTGTGAACCGATTCCGTGCTACACGCATTTGCGTCGCTTCGGCAGTCCAGAGTTTTTGCGTCGGGCCTGGCAGGTTGCGTGAGTTTGCGTACGTTCGGCTGCCAGCAGGGTGACACTCGAGACATCGATCGGCTGGTGCCACTGTCCTTCCATTTCCCCCCCTCTCCGAAAGCATTGCGTTGAAACAGAATGCTCTGATGTGTACTCTTCTGAGTGGGTCCGCGGCTTGCCGTGTTCCGTGGCTTTCTGTGAGCTGACCAGTTCCATTCCCAGCTCTCCCTCCACCTTGCCTGCCGCGGCGCCACACGGTGGGGGCGTTGGTTCAGGAATGTGCCCAGGCCCAGGAGGCTTCAGGCCCTGGAGGACTCCTCATCTGACGAGAGCGGCAACGACATCCATGACCAGTCCACGGTTGGAGCTCCACCGGCTGCCAGACCCTGGACCCCCTTGTGCAGCGGCTCCTTCATCCCATGCCATCACCGCAGCGATCCCAGCTCACCCCCACCCTTCTGGGGTGGGAGGGGATCCAACGGACTGCAGTTCCCTTGGCACGATCGAGTATGACGCGCTTTGTGCTCCGCCTTTCTGTAACTCCGAGCGTGCACCCGCGGCCGCCCGGAGGGGAGGCCAGGGGAGGGCGGGGAGACGGCCGGCAGGACGGTTTCACCATGCTCCACTGGGCCGCGGACAAGGGCCAAGAGCGGCTCTGCCTGTACCTTACCAGGCTCCCTCCGCCCCCGCCTCCTCCTCCTCCTCCGCCCCCTCCTCCTCCTCCTCCTCCTCCTCCTCCTCCTCCTCCTCCTCCTCCTCCTCCTCCTCCTCCTCCTCCTCCTCCTCCTCCTCCTCCTCCTCCTCCTCCTACAGTTGTGGGCAACCAGACTTGTACTGAGCCCCTGCCCAAGACTTGTGACCGAGTGGGCCCTGCTGAGGACCCTGTGCCTTACCAGCTTCCAGGAGAGCTGTTGCCCGTTGGCCCCGAGAATGAACCCGCGTCGCCCACTCCCCCTGCCTCGTCCACATCCTCAGGGACACCTCACAGGCCCCCCTAGACTCTCTTTTACCTCCTCACGTCTGCCCGCGGACCCTCCTTCGGGAACTCGATGTTTGAGACAGCTCTCACGGATTGCCGAGTCCTCGGTGTTCGTCCCACAGTTGCCGACGGATGTCCAGTCGAAGAGGGTGCAGGGCAGATTGGTCAAAATCTTAGCGTTGCCGCGTATCCGACCACTCTGGCGTCCGAGGTCCTCACGAGGTCCGAGGTTCCGCAAGCGGGTTCCCCCCCGTGTCCTCCGAGGAGCTCGACTTCAGCCCCCAACGGATCTCGGAAGGTAGTCGTTCATCTTCCGAAAGATTATGCCCAACAGCCGGAACACCACCAAACGTTGCCGCCAAGCTCCTAAGAGATGTGGGTGTGTGGCTGTTCTTGTCTTAGGGGGGACGGTGTGGCGCACTAAGTGAGCTGCCCAGTGTGTCGTCCTGTCCTCGTTTGGCGTCTCCCTAAATATTTTCACTCTCGGGGCGGCGACCCTCTGAGCTGCCTGCTGCCTCACCTTTGCGGTCTCTCGGGCCCCGAAGCTCTGCCTAGTTATCTTGTAGCTCCCGGTGCCGTCCACTCTTCCTTCCGACATCTGTAGTGTTCTTCACCTGCCCCCACTGCCGCAGAGCTTGCGCTCATGCGAGGATTTCGACACTGCATTGAGGTGAGTTTTGAGGCACGCTGATCATCGGCTGCCCACGTCCTCTTCCGTTTCCCCTTCCCCTGCCTTTCTCCAAAACAAAAAGTTGTCTTCACCTGCCCCCCGGCAGTACGCACAACAGGTGCTCAGATGCAGAATCAGAGCGGCCATCCGCAGAGACCCTGAGCGGCAGGCTTTCCTGCGGCGCGGCCCGTCCAGCTGACGAGTTCGGCGCCCCGACGGGTGGGGCTCCTCCCCCTCCTCCTCCTCCTCCTCCTCCTCCTCCTCCTCCTCCTCCTCCTCCTCCTCCTCCTCCTCCTCCTTCTCCTGCTCCTCCTCCTCCTCCTCCTCCTCCTCCTGCTCCTCCTCCTCCTCCTCCTCCTCCTCCTCCTCCTCCTCCTCCTCCTCCTCCTCCTGCTCCTCCTCCTCCTCCTCTTCCTCCTCTTCATCATCTCTTATCCCTCATTCCTCCTCCCTTCTTCCTCTCGCTCCTCCGCCGCCGCTGCCGCGCCGTCGTATCGCGCCGGATTTTAAACGAACAAAGGTTGGCGGCTGACTCCATGCCTAAATCTCTGGTCGCGCTACTCGCAGTTTCGCATGACCTGCGTTTGACGTTTGTCTGGAGACAGACCCGCGCTCCTCAGCTACGGTCTGGACGCCTTCCCAGAGACCGGCGTGTCATCTGGAGCCGTTGTTTGACGGCCTTGGGGCCCCAGTAAGGGCATCCCGAAGTTGAACACTGCCAGAGACAGTCCGTCATTATTTTTCGTTGTGGACGAGAGGAGATGGGGGCGTCTCGGCAGGCCGCCCCCCTCGCACTGGTGGAGCCCGCCCACAAGGGGGCAGCGCAAGGGGGACGGCCTCGCGAGGACGCAGGGGGGCCTTCTGTGAGCTGCCCTGAGGCTCCCAAGAAGCCTCGCTACAGGGCGCCAGTCCCTTCTGAGCGCAGCTCTGCCGTCGGGTATCGCAGCGCTGATTAACGAGGTGGGTAATGTTTTTGCGGCGTACGAAAAAAATCAGGGCGCCAGACCCTTCTGAGAAGGCCCCAGCCTTCTGACGAGCCCCCCCCCTGCCTTTTCAGAAATGCCCCGTCGCCGCAAGCCGCCGCTGGGCGGGTCGCACCGCCTGCAGGCCCGCCGCCGCGACGCATGTGAGTTCCGCGAGCACCCGCAGAGGCCCCCAAGGCGGCCCTCCTTCTCCTCCTCCTCCTCCGCCTCCTCCTCCTCCTCCTCCTCCTCCTCCTCCTCCTCCTCCTCCTCCTCCTCCTCCTCCCACCGCATGTGGATGGCAGGCAACTCCGAGGCAACTCCTCCTCCTCCTCCTCCTCCTCCGCCTCCTTTTCCTCCTCCTCCTCCTTCCTCCTCCTCCCTCCTCCTCCTCCTCCTCCTCCTCCTCCTGCTCCTCCTCCTCCTCCTCCTCCTCCTCCTCCTCCTCCTCCTCCTCCTCCTCCTCCTCCCCCTGCTCCTCCTCTTCCTCCTCCTCCCTCTCCCGCCTCATCCCGACCCCCCCTCCCCCCAGGAAGCAGACCACGGCAGCTTTTTACCAAGGAGGTCGGAGGAGCCACGGGAGACGGAGCGGCCCGCGACGGCAGCCAGCAGTGGAGCATACTCAAGCTCAGCAGTTGACCCAACCATTGCAGCAGCGGCGGCGGCCATCTCGGCCAGCAAGCTCGCGGCCGCCACCGCAGCAGCCCGAGCCGAGGCAGCTCTCGCGGCCGTGACCTCAGCCAGGGCAGGGGCGCGAAGGGAGGCAAGGGAGAGGAGAAGTTGGAGCCTCTCAGCGAGGAGAAGCCAGACGCTCCGACGCCAGCAGACGCCAGCTCCAGCGGCATAGTTCTGAACCTCTTCGGCGCGATCTTTGATAATATCAGCATCATGCAGGCCCTGCCCCCCCTACTCAGGCTACTGCGGCATCCAGCGCACATTGCCAAGGGCTGGATGCACCGACAACGGGTCGGCAGCCAGCTCGAGTACGCAGGTACCGGGTACCTCAGACTCGTGTTCTTCGCCGACCTCCTCACCTGCAAACACAGTGGCTGACGCCCCAGCCAACGGCACCAGTCCTGCTGCGCAACCCGACCAGACGGCCCAAGGAGACTTTCGCGAAGGTATCGACTCGGAGGCGGAGGAATGCAGTTTTTTGTTGCCAATATCACGCGCATGGGGACATCTGCCAAGACATCCCAGGCAAGGGCATACATCTCAGAGAATGTTTCCAAACACCAGACCTGGGCTTTCGCGGAGACGCACGTGGCGACCGATGCTCTGCGTCAGTGGCATAAGGAAGCGGAAGCATTCGATTCGCGTTCACTGCCGAACCCCGCCCGTCCGTCAGGGCACGCCCAGTCCCAGGAGATGGCGGGCAGAGCCAACGAGGGCGGAGAATGGTTTTTCGCCATGGGCAATCGCCAGGTACATGCACTCGCAGCTGCACGGCATCGCGGCTTTGAAGGCGTGCCAGGGCAACGCCACTGACGGCTTCCGTGCGACAATTGTGCACCTCAGGGGTTTTGGCCTCGTCACTATAGTGCTATATGGCTTTACCTTCGATAGCAACGACGGGCGATAATCTTGTTTGATTGCACTAACTAGGCTCGCTGGCGAGGAGCCCGAAGCTTCCTTGGCTGATAGCTGGGGACTTCAATATTCCAGCTGCCATTCTTGCCCGCGCCGGTCAGACTTCATCAAGTAGAGGGGTTCTCTACGAGGGAGACCTCGAGACGACTTGCACGGAAGGCGCGTCAGGATCGTTGACTGACTGCGCCATTGCCAGCAACAAGTGTCTCCCATGCCTTGCATCCATCTCTCCAGTTGTGCAGGTGCAGTGGAAGACGCATGTCGGTTGTCAAATTCGCATTCGCGGTTCTGGGACTCAGACCCTAGCCCGCGCGCTCGAGCCGCCCGCTAGGCTGCCCCAAGCAAGCCGGCCGAAGAGGGAAGCCGCGGCGGGCGCAGAGTCCCCCGAGGCTCACAAGAAACATCTCGGGGCGACGCAAGTAGCAGCATCACATAGCGCGTCTCTTTACGCGCCACTCTTCGGCTAGGAGGGGCACGAGCCAACAGGGCCTCAGGAGGGCCCCCCCCTAGATGACGAGTTTCTGCAGGGTGCGCCGGCTGGGGTCTGAGAGTCTGGCCCCGAGGAGGATCCTTGCGCGGGTGATTTCGAGTTCAGGCATAGGCCGAGCCCCCGCCCGCCGCCCCCGCCCCCCCGCAGCCCCCCCCCCGCCACTTTTGCCGGCCCCCCCTCGCCCAGCCCCGAGCCGCCCCAAGTAGAACGTGATCTGGATCAAACAAGAATGCAAGTTAAAGTCACCCCTACCCCGACTTTGGAGAGCCGCCCCGGGAGCGCGGCAGGTCTCACCACTAGGGAAGGGTTTGGAGGGCCCGCGCATCACATGTCTGAAAGTACCCGGGCCACCGACGGGGCAACGAGCGGGCGCCGCCCAGCAAGACGAGAATCACAGCTGGCCCCCCATTTGCGCAGTCAGCAGCCGTTTTGGCTGGCGGGCCCGAGCCAGCCTAGGTAATTAGCACCACGCATGCGACATGGATCTCAGCAGCGAATCGCGCGATTATTGCACGCCACAGGCCTGATGAGGACGGAGTGCCAACAGCAGGGGCAGCATCTCTCGGACGAGCGAGAGGCCCGCAGTCACGAGTCAAAGAAGCCCACGTTCCTAACAAGGCGCGCGCGGCGGCGCCGAGAGATGTCATCGCAGGACGTTGGCTTCAGACACACGCGCAGTCCTACAGCAGCTTCTGAGGCATCGGCAGCGGAACAATGGAGAAGTGCAACAGAGGCACCTGCGGCATGCTTGCTGGCGCCTGGCCACATCGTCTCCTGGCGGCGCTGATCTGCTGATCCGGGTATACGAGTGGCCGGCCCAACATGCGAGACATGGGCGGGCTCATTTGCGCACGTCGGCAGGGCACCAAGCAGTTTCATCCGTTATCTTGAAGGGGCATCATTTCGGCTCGCCAAGCGGGCGCGCAGTAGGGCCCCAAGCGAGTCCTTGTCGGGGTTCCAGATCTGGGTGACCCCGGCAGAG